CATAAGCTTTCGTGGGTAAGAACCTCACTTCTTCAGATGCAAGTGAAGAAGTGAGGTTCTTACCCACGAAAGCTTATGCTCCCAGTACTTCTGTTAGTCTCAAAGGTGCCACAGGACCCTCTGTTGCTTTTTACAGATTCAGACTAACATGGCTACCCCTCTGATACTTGAAAAGTAGTGGTAACTCCAGCTGCCTAAACAGAATAACAAGTTCAATAACTGATTACATCAGTATATATATTATATACACCGCATATAATTCAGATATGGGGAGAATATGGGTTGACGATATGAATTGAAAATTACTGAATAGTCACTGCAAAAGTGTAGTGAAGTGATCATCAGGGGGTTAACTTAGTTACGAAGTGTATTACATGTTGGACACATGCGCCACCCTTTCCTTATTTGAACTTCCTGTTTAGTTAGTGGATGTTTGTAGTTCAATAAAGCAGCATGTTCCCAACCTGCAGTAATGTGCAATTCCTGTGCATTGGGCAGTCCCTTTACAAAATGAAACTGGTATGTGTCCTTAATTTCATGATCCCAGAAAGATGTAGGTTTAGCAAGGTGCATCATTTTGCTACCTTGAGTCACAGTGTGATGTTTTTCTTCTCTACCTTATTATATGGTAATTCTGTTTGCCCTAATTCCTCCTAATATTTGGGAAAATTGTACATACAGTCACACAATGATTGAATCAGTTCTCTTCTTTTATTACTATTACAAACTGAATGTGCTAAATCCCCAAGGTGAAATCCTGTCACCATTTATATAAATGGCAAAACTTCAATGGGGCAAAGATCTTGCACCTAGCACTAGTGGTTATAGGTTTTTATCAATTCCCCTGCCTGCTGCAAAAATTGTATTTTTTAACTCTGTAAATAAAATAAATAAAATTCACAGCAGCACAACCTACTGAAAACAACCAAACTCACCTGTACAGCCAGAAGACACAGTAGGTAATGGACAGTTGTACATAACTGGTCAAATGTATATCTTCTTCTATAGGCCACAATTCTGCAAGGCACTTAAGCATGTTTTTTAAGTGAATTTCTGAACTGGGGCCATGGAAAACTTGCATCCAATGATTTCTTTTGAATGTTCCCAGCGGGAATCACAGAAAGATCTTGAAGGTTCAGACAGAAGAAAAGATTGTGTGGTAATATATTTAGCAAGGTGATAATGCAAACCACTGGGAAATATAGAGAGGTGAAGGGGAAATTACATTCCCTGGCTGGGGAGTTATGTAATGTTTATAGACAGGAAACAGTCGGGGATATCCCCCTGGTCTGTGTGTCCAACCTCCTGCCCTCAACCAATTACAAAGAAAGCTCTGGTGAAGAGGTAGATAAAAGGCATGTCTTCTCAGATATAAGTTTTCTCCTTACTATGTATTGGTGGTACTGCCAACACTCACCTCAGACTCTATGTTGCTCCCTAGCCTGTGTGCCAACCTGAGCAGCTCTTCCTCTAGGAGTGGCACAAACTACCAACTGTTTATTCTCACAATGTGATCTTTGAACAGGGCTTGAGTGAGATTTTGGATGTCCCAGTGAGATACACATTGGAAAACCATCCAGCACAAAAGGAAGGTCATGAGATGAGAGATGCTTCTCAAAGTGCAGCCAAACACATCATAAACGAGTTTTGTATCAATGATGGAAGTCAGCTTCTTTATGGAAATCAGCATTCAACATTACAGTCCTCTCTTTCAATACTCCTGTTGTGGCTATATTTCTCTCTCCCCCTCTCCCCCCCACCATATAGTCAAATGAATGAAAAATAAGGGTATTCGCTCTCCAAATGAAGGAGACTCAGAAAGCTGGATTGTTATTACGGTGCTCTTTCTCCTAAACCAGCCAGGTTAACCGTGTGCTTGTGCACAATCCCAGCTCAATGATCTCCCCCTCCCCTGGCTTTTTTTTTTAAATTTGGAAATAATTACAAATATTTGTGCTAATGCTGATAACGAATAGCCCAGTTACAAATCATAACTAACAATAAGGCAGAGATGGTTGTATTACCCTAGCCCAGGGGTCGGCAACGTTTGGCACGTGGCTCGCCAGGGTAAGCACCTTGGCGGGCCGGGCCAGTTTATTTACTGCTGATGCGGCAGTTTCGGCCGATCGCAGCCCCCACTGGCCGTGGTTCACCGTCCCGGGCCAATGGGGGCGGCGGGAAGCCGTGGCCAGCACATCCCTCGCCCGCACTGCTTCCCGCCGCTCCCATTGGCCTGGGACGGCGAACCACGGTGAGTGGGGGCCGTGATCGGCCGAACCTGCCACGTCAGCAGGTAAATAAACTGGCCCGGCCCGCTAGGGTGCTTACCCTGGCGAGCTACGTGCCAAACGTTGCCGACCCCTGCCCTAGCCCCTGCGAGCCCAGTCAGGGACCCACATTGTGTTAGGTGCTGTACAAACACAGAACCAAAAGACAGTCTGGGATTTGCACTGGGTGTAGGGATAATCATGCCTCACGCTCGTGTAGTCTCCTCTGCCTGAGGCTCTCAGGGTGGGTTTGGTGGGGGCACAGCGGGGTAAGCTGGCATGGCAAGGGTAAGGATCCAGGCTAGCTCCCACCCTCGGGCCCACTGAAAATCAATGGGGGGGGGGGGCTTCCTGTTTATGTCAGAGCTAAATTTTTCCACCCCCTCAGTGAGTTACCGAAAGGGTCACCCAGCAGGTCAGTGCCAGACTCCAGCAGAACCCAGGTGTCCGGGGCATCCCCCCGCCTCTCCCCCTTTACCCCGGCAGCTCGGAGCACACGCGGCTCCCGCAGCTGGGGAGGGAGGCTCGCGCAGCCGCTGCTGCCTCCGGATTGGCCCGCGCCCGCGCTCCCCCTCCCGCGTCCCCCAGGTCTGAGCCGAGCGGGGGAGCTGGAGCCGGGGCTGTCATTTGTCGGCAGCAATTTAAACCCTGCGCGCCGGCCGTGGCTACCCGCGAGCCTCTCCATGGGAGCCTCCGCCCCGGGGCACGCTGCGGGCGAGGCGGTGGCTCCGCAGTAAGCGATGCGGGGCTAAGAGCCCATGTGACCATGCGGGAGACCCGGCCGCTCCTGCTGGGTATCTGTGGGAGCAGGTAACATGCGAGGTGCCCGGAGGATCATGGACTGGTTCCTGCTCTTCGTGTGGACGTTACCTGTGGCGGTTCTCAACAGCAGCTCCATGCAATTCCTGACCATCCTGTGGCTTGGCGGCATTGCAAAGGCAGGTCGAGAGCACTTTCTTTTGCAGTCGCCTGGAGTGCGTACATGCCAGGTCGCGGAGCCGTTTCTGGTGCCTTCTCCCTCCCCTTGTCCAGTGACTCTCGCCCAATACCCCCTTTTCTCTTTTTTTCTCTCTCTCTTGCAGACCCTTCAGTTGTGCTGCCTCTGTTGCGTGTCTTTTGCAGCAGCTTTAACCAGTGACAGCAGCAGCAGCCTCAATGGAGTGAATCATGGTTTGTGTCTATATCTCTGTCTATTTTAAAAGTGCATGCAAGCGTCTTTGTGAAACGGAACATCCACCTAACCCACAAATGTTGGTCCTTCTTTTCAATGAATATAAACTGAACCCAGGCATGCTGCTGTAAGCCTACATGCAGATTTAGTATCTCTGGAGCATGGGCAAAATAAATAGGGCACAAGCTGAAAAATTGACAATAACAACAGAGACTATTTTTAAATGCCAGGAAAATAAAAAAGAAATGGCAAAGAAACAAAATTTCCATTCAGTTATGGAAAAAAATAATAGAAAACCAGGAGGAAATAAACCATGCAACCCAGGTTAAGGGTTTGTAGCAATCCAGGAAGGAAAAACAAAAAAACAAAAACAACCACCTTGTATAAACAGGATTATTTTGTTGTTGTTGTTCCCACGTGGCAAAAAATAGTGTTTTGATGTTGTTACCTTTTGGAAGCTTGCAATCTCTCTCTCTATATATTTGCACTTGCTGAGAGTGATAAGTACAGTGCAGTGCGCACAGGTTTCAGGAAGGGAAAATACTGCTGCAACCCATGTCTGCTGGGGGATTCCCTTCTTCCAGCAGCTGCTTGCATTTTTGGCTACCAGCCTGCTTAGTATCCTAAGCTTCTGCCATTGATTAACACCACTTAAGGAAAGTGAAAGTCCTTGATGTATTGTTTCCACTGTCTAGAGCAAAAAGAAACCTATCACTGGCTACGTTTTCAGTGTAATATGCACCCAATAAAATCAGTTCAAGGCAAGGAGATTAATGGTATGCAACATCGGCTACTATATAAGAACATATTTTTGTTCTTTATAAGGATGTATTTCAGTTTAAGAAAAAAAAATTATCATCAAAGATATGGATATCTTTAGGCATTCTGGCCAAGATACACATCAAAAGGTAAGCAGTGTTAGGAAGTAGGCTACTTAATATAGTGTTTTAATGTAAGCCATGCTGTCACTTGCAGGAGTACCTGCAGTCCTGATTCAGCAAAGAACTTAAGTATGTACCCAATTTCAAGAATGTAAGTAGTCATCACCCTGTGAGGAGATCAATGGGACTACTCATGTGTTTAAAGTTAGGCACATGCTTAAACACCTCACTGAATCAGGCTCTATATTCTTCTCTTCTCCAGATATTTTGAGTTGATCGTATTTTTCTTCTCCCAGATATGCACAGAATTTCTTTCACATAATTTAGCCAAAACAACTGAACGACTAAATAAAGGTTATGAGGTAGTATGTAATCTCTTTCGGCTGAAGGTCAGTTATGATTTGAAACCTAGTCTAATCATGACACTACAAAGAGATGAGGTCTGACTCTGTTAAGGAATTAATAAATTAATCCTTTAATCCAGTTGAACAAATGGAACAATTCTACATAATCTGTTAAACCAATACCAACACTATAATATTTGCTACACTCTTGGAAAAAAATAACAACATACAAAAACCCACTCTTCCCATGTGACAGCAATTAATATGGGGGAGGGGGAAAATCTATAGACTTGCTGGTGATGACAAATGTCTTCACAAGAGTGACTGTGGGAAAGTTCACAGCTATGATAGTCTGTCCCTCTCAGTGGGGCAGAAAGAAAACAAACACTGTATTAGAGTCTGTGTGACTTACACGGAACAGCTTGGAGTTGCTTTAGATGAATTTATGCATGCGTTAGATACATATAGCCCTTGGATCCTTGGTGCCATGCCCTAAATGAGGAAACTTCATGCCACAGTGAAAGTCTGCTGCATAAATGAGCGCTATGTTAAAAAATGACATACGCTTTATTCATTGAGTACAAAGGCTGATGGTCAACATTTTGCCATTACAGATTACGTATTTGTGACACCTGTCGAAGTGGATTCCAGTGGATCATACATCTCACATGATATTTTGCACAGCATTAGGAAAAAGAGATCAACCTGAGACCGCCAAGGCAC